TGTTCCTTTAAAAGGGGCCTCGTGGTGGGTTCCATGTTACTTGGTGGGAGGTCTTGGCTGAGGCCAAAACATCTTGGAGCGGCTCTTCGTGAAGCTTCTGCCACTGGCGGGCCTGGTGTCACCCGACAAGGCAAGAGAAGGGGCGGAAGTTGGCCGCGCGCATATCTCCAACTAGGTCCCCCAGTAGTGCCCTTTTACCTTCTTTTTTTTTGGGGGGGGAGGGTTCCCCTACTAAAATAGACTACAGAAAAGAGGGTACGGTTATTCTAACCTCTCTACTGCCCCACCTAGCCAAAGTTGGTTGCCTGAGTTCAAAACCGACCTTGTATCCTTTCTCCCGCTAACAGAAGGCATGTGGAGGATTTCGTCTTCAAGGGGCCCCTCGGCAGGTGCCATGTTGGTGGCAGGAAGGGCAACAAATTGACTTATTAGTCTTCCGAAGGGCTTTCCTTAAAAAACAACCTCAAGATGGGGTACCCTCAAACACAGATACCCAGATGGTTCCGGACATTTTGAGGTCTTAGGGCCATTCTCTCCCAGTCAGTGGGTGAGTTTGGGACAATTCCTTAGGTTGCCACTTTTTGTGATACCAAGGGAATCACTTTCAAGTGGCCTGGGCACGGGGTTCGCCCACGAATATCGCGTGAGGTATTTGCCACAGCCTTGTGGTTGCTCCTCTGTTCGGCCGGACTGACCCCCAGGAGGGCATGCTCGCTTGAATAGGGAGCCCTCGCAGCTTCGGACGAGGTTTTGGCAACTCGTGACGGTTGCCGGTCCTTCAAAGGCAAGTTTCAATGTCGAGCCGATGTCTGCCCCTGCCACTAGGCCATGGCAGCGAATTCCCTGAACCTTGCGACTTCCAACCCTCCCCCAGGTAAGCCCCATGGCAGTCCAGTGAATGGCCCTAAGTAATGCAGGGAAGCGGGATGGCATGCCCCGAATCAAGCCCCCCCCCCCCCGCCCGTTTTTCCCAGTTTGGGGCGCAGACCTTGCGAGGCGCTCAAGGACCGATGGCACTTACGAGCCCTGATCTTGCCCCCCAGCGTGGCAGACCAGGCGCCGTTGTGGGGAAATTGGTGGTTTTTGGCTGCCGCTTTCTGTGATACCAAGGGAACGCCATCTGAAAGTGATCAAGTCAAGTCGTGTTGGGGATGACAAACTTTGGCATCAGAGAAAGGATCATGACGATCATGCCAGGCGAAGGGCAAAGCGGCCACAAAGCGCGCGAGGAGCCAATCGGCGGCGGCGGCGGGGGCTGCCAAAAGCCGCCGTGTGCAAGATTTGATGTGAAGTTGTGCCAGCTTGGATCGCAAGTCTTGGAACGCGCCCCCTTTACAGCCTGGGAGCAAGGGACCTTGAATCCGCAACGAGCTTAATTCTACCAAACATGGGGGCCATTTGTTTGTTTCATTCAGCTTCGGAATTGATCCAGCTGGACGTGGCAAGGGCAAAGAGGCAGGGGAGAAGGCCATAGTGAGGCACGCCTCAACTGCTCAAGGAACCTGGGACATGCGCTCTAAGTGAAAAGACCATAGCTTTGCTTATGCAGTTTATAATAGGCCAAGTAAACCCAGTATGTGGGCCTTAGAACCACCGTGGAAAAGCCACATCTAGCAACGGCAGCGCAGTGTGAGTAAAACCCCTGGCCCTGGTTGATCAAAAGGGGTGGTGTTTAATTGAGTACTCTTGTGGGCGACGATGCAGGTGCAGAGATGCCTATCGGAAGACAGGTTTTGGGGCCCTGCGCACTTCCACGTTTGTTAAGGGGAATCCTGATATGTCCTTGCTACCCAGCCAGTTTGCAGGCAGCACAGGCAGCACGTAGCTGGGAGAAATACATTCCAGTCCAAAATGTAGCGAATGAATATTCTTATTCTTGGCCTTGACTTCAGGATGAATTGCTAGAGGTCACACTTTACGTCCAAAGTTGCTGGGACTTTATATGCTTTCTGGAGAATGCTGAAACAGTTTTTGGACCTTGCCTTCCAATCTCAGGAGGTGAGGGTCCATCCAGTGGATTCTTGCTTCCTTCTTTTTGGGGAGGTGATCGTGATCGCAATGAAGGGGCAGCAGGTCTGTGCACCCCTGACCCCTCTTACCATGGAGTTCCACTAGGCTGAGATAGTTCCAGACATCAATCGGTCGAGATCCGTGTTTCGACTATGGCCGTGCCTATGGCCCAAGAGCTGGTGCTGATGGGTCGGCCTTGGAAACGTGCTTCAGTCATGGAGCCCTCGGGTGCCACATGAAATGTCCGGCGCGGTTTTTGGTGAGCTCGCCGATTCGGGGGTAAAACGAGCTGAACTCCATGTCGGCGTTTTTTCTGGGGATCCGATTCCTAGTTCTGGTTGAAGTGTTGCAATGTGTTGCTCTCTTTACCGCATCCCCGATGGATTTAACGCGGGCCGCCAAAGCGTGATAATGCACTTCAGAAGGCCGCTGGATGAACACTTGCAACAATTAACCCTTTAGAACACACCCAAGTTACTTTGCAATCTGGTTCGGGCTGGTTGGTATGTGTCAAAATGCCAGGGGGGTCGGCCCCGAACTGAAAATTGTTTTTGTTAGGCCACCTCAATGGTGCCCTCAAAAAACACACTCTCAGATGAAGTCACCAAGACCGCATCCTGCATAGCGCACGGAGGTTTGCCAGAGGGTCAGTGCAAGCCGAGGGATTCAGTGAGGCTGGAGCAGCCATGAGACCATCAGAACTGCACAGAGGATCCGTCCAATTTAGCTCACCCCCCCCCTCCCCCCACCCGAGCCCCCGGTCGCGAACAAATGGCCCAACTGGTGTGGAGTTGGAATGCACGTCACATTTTCATGGTGACAAGCAAAGCAAGCCGCGGAGCAGACATACTCATAGGCATACGTGTAAATTACATGCATACATACAAACAAGCGCATGCACATAGTAGTAGTATGCACATTCTGTTGCATGCACCTGCCCATTTGCAAAACACATGGGTACCATACATGCATCGATGCGTATCATACATCCATGGTTAGATACCAACACATATTGTCAGAGGACTGTGCCAGCCTCGCTGAGATGACTGCACTGCCCGTGTTTTTTTTTCGGACGCTGAGCGAGGGATCTGGGCGATCCCGTCGCGCGACCGCGCAGCGGGGTGCTGCGCTATCCGTTGAAAAGTTGGGTGCATCAGAATAGGGGGCTTCTATTGGTGGGATTAATTTGAGAGGTGTACTGTTTAGTTCTTGCTTCTTTGGCATGAAATGCGCTTTTACAAGTAGGAACCAACCACCTTCTACGTATTCAGGCGTTTGCAGTAATCTCTTCCCCCTATTAATGAATGACCCCAATTAATAAAAAATGGAAATCCGGGGCCCGGGACCAGATTTCCACTCCGCACAATTGATTTGTAATTGCGCCAATACTAAACCAATACTAAAGTCTTGGAATCCTTATTAGGGGGCACTTTTAACAAGCTTCCAGCCCCACTTTTAAGCTGCGACTGTCTCTCCCCCGTACATGCTGGCTAACCTGCCTGGCTGCAAACAAACAACCAGTAAACTGAAAAACAAATAGAATGATACACACAATTTCCCTATTAAACCGCTTACTCGCAGACCTTACAATTCAATCCATTTCCTCCAAATCCTATGTGAACCCTCACATTGTTGGAAAAGCAAAAAACCCAACCCCAAAAACCCCAATTAAATATATATATATATATATAAACATTTTTGGGAGGATTTATTTATAATAGGGGAGGGGGGGGGTATTTATTAATAGGGGGAAGAGATTACGCATCGGGAACTTTGGAGCAGAACCATCCGCCAAACGCGTCCCCCTATTTTGGGAAGCACCAAGGGGGGAAGTCCCAGCCGGGACTTGGACTTGAGGCATCACAAACAAATAAAAGGTGCTTCAAGATCGAGTCCTTACGGCTGGTGGGGCTTCGTCATATATGCAGGGCCATCCTTGCAGCAACCGCGCAAAAGTCGCAAGTGAGATGGAAGCTGGCGTAAGGCATTCGCCGAGACAAAGCCTGCAGCCCGAGAAAGGGTTCTTGGAGTACAAGCCCAGGATTTAAGACCCCCCTGGATGAGACTTGCGTGAGCTAGACGTTGATTCATCGTTTTATTTGCGGGGTGGCTTTGGCAAGGCTCTACAAAAGATTGCCTGGGCCTTTAGTACTAGTTAGTATACAGGCCGCTGTTTGATGTTTTGAATTTTAGAGAAGGCCGGTAGCCCATGCCAATGGGAGCTGAGTCTAGGAACTGTTGCTCTGGAGTGAATGCGCTCAGAGGCTGGGGACCTTCGTCAGTCAGAAGGCATCCTGGATTCTGGAGCAAGCGCACACACACATACTTTTTCAGCTTCCAAGCTCAAAGCTTGTTGCTTCCAGGTTTCCTCATTTATTTGGCCTAGGGCTTGAGAGTTAACACTTTTTGTTGGCCAGTGAAAGCTCAGCAGGCCCCCGAAAGTTGACCGCTGGGTTGTTACACCTGTGGGTGGTGCTTCCTCAAAACATGAACAGGCACAGCATCGGTCGAATCTGTCGACTTGCGGGCTCACATTTGCCGTGAGGCGCTGGCCACCTAATTATTTGATTATTTGTAAAGGATCCTGGACATTTGTTGTTTTTTTATTTCAACCAAGTGGAAATTTTCCACAGGACCCACAAGAAGGCATCCTTTTGCGGGGTCAGCAACCAAGTTAAGTCAAGGTTTAGGCCCATAGCATGGGAGACTCCTCTTTGCGCAGCTTTTGAACATCAATGTTGAGTCCTTGTGCCAAATGGTTTCGGCTTCCCTTGCTGTGTTGCTGTGTTGCTGTGTTGGCGTCCATCGAGAGCGAAACAAGGAGCAATGCAAAAAAGTAAGGCAGCAACACGCTCGCTGTTGATGGACAAATCCCTGCACCAGTTGGGATGGAAACATCCGACCCTTTGCATACTTGGACGAAACTGCCCACCAACTGGTTCAGGATTTCGCCTATCGGGAATGAAACGCGCAGCTTTGAAAACAACGAGGCCCAGCGAAAGCAGCCCGGTGTCCATTGACGATTGCTCCTGGGCCGCTCGGCGCAAATCTTTACAGAGGATGCTTTTTGTGCGGAACTGTTTGTGCCAGTTGAGTTGCGAAACTACTGTTTTAGGGTGCCAATTTCCATTATACCGAGCAAAGCCCTTTTAGCGTGAGAGAGTAGTTGAGGGGACGACCCCCAGTGGATTCCAAGCCTCATGGTTGGAAGTTATAGCTTCCTTAGAACATAATGTGTGTTCCACAATTGGGGAACCCTGGGTTGTTTCTCAAAAAACAAAAAGTGAACCTACAAGGACACCCGCAATTTTTTGATTTTTTTGGGGGGGCCCTAAGACACCCACATATGATGTTGTTCACTTGTTGCGAGTTGGTTTTGCCATTCGCCAACTTGTTGCGCGAGCCCCCCGTCGAAATCACCGAAAGTGGGCTGTACCGAGAATTCCATGTCCGTGAGTCGGTAATGTCGGGAATCCTTCAAGCAACTACAAGCAAATGCTGATTTCCGACTGCAGCAGTATTTGAGTCCACTGTCCCCAACTGAATCGCATGTTTGTGCTGCAGTCGTGGCTAAGTTTGGCTTTAAATTAGGCCTGCATTGCAGCTGTGTTGAAGCAGTGCTTCTGAAGGGCAACTGGTGACATTTTCCAGGGCCCGTTAAAGGATGCACCTGGGGAAGTGAAACCATCACCTTGATCAGCTTGTTTAGTTTTTGGATGTATCTTCCTTCAACCCTGTTCCACCTGTTAAGTGTCCAACATCCCTGTTTTGTCCAGCCGGGTCCAACCCGCTCATTTCATGAGAACTTTGCGGCCTTGCGCCTGGCGCCTGGCTCAGCGAAAGCAGTGATCAAGGTTCCAAACCTGGGCAAGCTGGCCACTAGGTTTCGACTGTCTGCGGGGGTCATCAAAATAAATTGGGGTTTCCCTCAACCTCCGTCCAAAAGCAGGGGGGGCTTTGGGCGTTGGTATCATGAGGCCAGCGGAACGGCCAGGAAGGCGACGGAAGGGCCCTAACGGTGCGAATGTCCGCCACTTCCCGCGTCCAAAACCTCGGTTGAACATTTTGCTGGTTCTGCTGCTTGCGCATACCTGCGCTATGGCGTTGGGAACAACTTCTAGCAGACTCTAGCACCCCCAACCCCCATGCTCATCACACACCCCGCTCCATACCTTGTTCGTTTCCCCCCTAAAAACGTAACATGTAATAAGGTGTATACTGGAAGGTTCCCCGTATGGGGGGTATGCCTCCGCCGTTTCCTATATGGGAGCTGATGGGGACTGGTTGTGGATGAACATGCCGAGGGGCGGAAAAGCGCATTGGCCGGGGCCAGAATTGCCTTTCGACTCCACAGGCACTGCGAACGACCTTTTCAACTCATGCTCCATTGTTTGCAGGTAGGTTCTCGTCCGAACCCCGTATCCCCGCAGCCCGGTAATTAGTTCACTGCAATGTGCCAAAGGCATTCCACATCGGCGCTTTCTCTTCCATGCTTGGTTGTGTGGCCCAGTGCTCCACCTTTCTGGAGGTCAGCAGCTCTAAGTTTGTCCAGTTTCATTTCGCCTTCTTGGGCTTCTCGTGAGGTCGCTGGATTGATCTCTTTGGCCACGGAGCTTGGTTTGGTTGGTTTGACGTCCTGTATAAAGGTTAAGGTTGCTTTGCATTCTGCTGTTTAGCTTTTGTGGCGTTCAACACTGAACTTCACTGAGGCTGAGGTGTTGGTCAAGTTCAAGCCACAAAGGACCACATAGAAACGCAAGGGGTGCCCCATGTACATTCTGGGTGACCCACCAGGGTGGGTAACACTTAATTAGAAGTGACGCTCAGGTGAGCCTGCTTGGGGAAGAAGTAGGCAAGGGGGCTGGGAAGTGGGATCTGGGCAGTCGTCCATAACTTATAGCATGTATATATGCATATGTATATATATATATATATATATTGATCTATCTGTTTGAGCCCATTGTGCAGCTCACCCGCGGGGGCTAAATAAATATGTATGGAGAGACAGAGAGAGGTGTATATGTACCTGTATCTGCACATGTATGCCTGCGTATATGTATGTTACATACGGTGCCGACATGGCTGCTGAAGGTATCGAAGGTAGTGTACTTTTCCTATTGCATCTGCTTGTTCGAAGTGCTTCAAGTTGTTTAGTGCTGGCCTGGCCGGACCGGTCGGCTTCGGATGTAGCATAAATGCAAGTTAACCTGTTGAATATCTACATATACCTACATGCATTATTTTGCTGTGATCCTGGCCAATTATTTTGATCTTGGAGTCCTCTTCTAATGTTATTTAGGCCCTTGTAGTACCTCAGGGGGCCACAAGGTGACAATCCCAGATGCAACCAACACGATTGACCGGATCTGACGATTTGGGGGCCTTGTAGCAGCACCTCATTGCGGGGTGCGCGCCTTTTTGAGTGGTTAGCCAGGCCCAACTGCAGAGGCCGGAGTCGGTGAGTCGCCGCGGGACCAACTGCGTGTCGCAGTTGCTAAAGGAGTCCAGGGGACAGTGATCAACCCGAAAGATGACATGAGTTCTTCGAATCTGATTGGACAGTCCTGAACACCGTAATGCGCATCTAGAAATCATCATCGCGCCGCGTTCTTGAGCACGCCCAGGTGCGGCCCTTTCAGACCATAAAGATTGTTGAAACAGGTCTGCGTGACTCCTATAGCTCCATTTAGGGCAAGCGTTTGTTGTTGCAAGACTAGTTTGCTAAACCGGCGGGAAGCACTGAGAGGTGTTCGACGATTCGGCACTTGGAGCTTTACCCTAGTTCAAAGGACTTTGTGCCCTTTAGAAACAGTCCTGGACCTGCCAAAACATGGCAAGAAACAGCCCTCTCCTTCCGGACGGGTCACTGGGCAACTGGGTTCCACAGCTAAGCTGCTAGGGAAACCCACGGGGTGAGCCAAGCGCCTGCTTATAGCCACATCCCGGGCACATGCCACAGGATCAAGAGCCCCAGCTCGGTTCCTCACGAGTGGGTCATTTGGCTCCAGTTCCCTTGGTGGTATGGATCCTATGTAAAGAAGCGGGTGGATTTTCCCCTTTGCTATTTTGGACATCACCTTGTGGGCCAAGTAAAAGGGAGCTTGCTATGGATGATTTAAAGGGGAAATGCTCGGAACCCTACACTGAGCAGAAGGATAGCGACCGGACGGCAATCGATCAATCAGGCTGGTCCATTCCACGTCATCCTTAGAACTCATTTGTGTGTAGGTTTGCTCCGTTAAGCCGCAAGGGGGCGGATGGCACTAACTATGGCTTGTAGCCTCCAACCTGTAGCTCGACCCGATCCCTCCATGTAAGCTGGCCGCCTTCTGCGCCATGGGCCGCAAATGGCGCCTTCGGGCGCTGGCGTTGCCGCTTGCGCTGGCGCTGAGTTGTGCCTTCCTCGGGTCGCAGACACCCCGGCGTCTTGTGCTTCGGCGCGCGGAGTCGGAGGAGCCGCCTTGGCTTTGTGCTCGTGGCTTGCTTGCGTAGATTGCTATTTCATGTTGTTTTTTGTGTTGCTTGCTTTGCTTGGCTTTGCTTTGCTTTGCTTGGCTTTGCTTGGCTTTGCTTGGCTTGGCTTTGCTTGGCTTGGCTTTGCTTGCTTGCTTGCTTGCTTGCTTGTTTTCTTGTTTGCTTGTTTGCTTGTTTGCTTGTTTGCTTGTTTGCAGGCTTTTTCGTGGGATGGCACTTGAACGGCATGCATGTGATCAATATCCAGAAGGAGTCATAGCGAGAGTCTCTGGCCAAAGCCAAACGAGGTCAAGAAGGTTCCTCACTTACCCTCCCACAAAGTAACATGGAACCCGCCAGAGGGTCCCTTCTAGAGAAAGCATGTCTTCCAGGAAGCCCCAGACGGTTTCATGGTACTAATTAGGCGGGAGGCTAGGGATTTGCTTGATTCAGGTTGGTGAGTTGTAGTGATTTCAGGCTTTCGGACCTTGTCGCAAGATCCACTGACAGTCGCCAACCGCTTTCCAGCATGTTCATGATGGTTCGCCGGAGTGTCCACGTTTCACTTTCTCGCAATTTGCATGGTTCAAGTGCCGTGTTGAACCACGGCGAAGATATGAGACAATTGGGCAAAAGGATCCAAATTGGGATGGACACTTGGGGTGTGTAAGTGTTGCAGGCCCGAACTTTTGCACCCAGGTTTTCTCTTCAGTCGCGTGAATCGGTTGGAGCAAATGGATCCGTTGCATTGCTTGACAAATGTACCAGCTGCGTGGTGCTTCTGCCTGCTTCGTACAATCCTGGTGCTGATTAGCACATCTACCGCTGTTCATTCCCAACAGGGAGCTCAGGGGATGTGGACTTGTGCATTGTATCGCCGTTGTTTTTTTGACACCAACGTGTGTGCATGATATGTGACACGTGCAAGCGCGTTCCAACAAAAGAAAGACCCTCGCAAGGACGAGGATCGGGCGCCCGCGTTGGACTGCATTCTGCCCATAGGCAGGGTTGCTTAAAGGATGCCTTTTGGCAATGTTGTTGCACCTTTTTTTGGCAATTAATCTGGAGGAGTCCTCACTTCCCGAGTTTATGGACTTGCTTTTACGTGGGAAGACCAGTTCACACCGAAGGTTTGGGGGCGTTTTGGCCAATCCACTCATGAGATGTTCTTGCGAATCAGGTTCAGAGCGAAGATGCAAGGAAGCCCGAAACCTGAATGGGGGTTGAAAAAAGGAAGAAAGACTAAAGGGTTAGGAGGTCATGAAAAAAATGATGGTCATTTCTAGGTTTGCCACTGAAAGCACTGAACGGAGACCAGGTCCCCCAGTAGTGCCCTTTTACCCTGTTTTTGGGGAGGGTTCCCCTACTAAAAAAGACTACAGAAAAAAGGGTACCCTTATTCTAACCTCTCTACTGGAGGACCTAGGAGATGCGTTGGGTGTATTTTGTCGCGTGGCAGGGCCCTTCTCCCCCTTCCGCTCCAGCGCCTGCGACTTCAATAGCGACCTGGGCAAAGGCATGACGGAGCTGACCAGCGAGTCTCCCAGCGTCTTGGCCCGACGGGCTCCTGGGGCGTGTGGTTGGCATAACCCCATGGCAAAGATATCTAGGAGATTCCTTAGGGTAGCTTTCGGAGTTATGATAAAATGTGCAGATGTGGTTAAACTGGCTTTGGGACAACTTCTGAGATACTCATGGAACTTCCACTTTAAGGTAAGCTTTGTTAGTCATAGAGGTTTGATATCACGGAATGATTTCCACAAATGTCGTGATGTAGAGCTCTTATGTTGCGAAGCAAGGTATAATTTGCACAACAGTTGCAGTTGAGTGGCTGTTTCAAGCGGCTTGGAACCTGACCGGGCGCAGTCGCATTTTTTCCTCTCAAAGGGGTTGCTCACGATCCAAACAAATCTCGCCCTCACAGATTTGGTTTGTGCTCTCATCGATGAAAGTTTCTTTCTATGGGAATTGTCAGCTTGGCGAATTGTTGTGATTCACTCAGACAAGTGAAGTGGTGTTGGCCCTGCCTTGCATTTCTGATTGTTAGAACTCACCCCGAAGTTCCTGGACTTTGCAGCCATGTTGGCAGACAAACAGTTTGGACTGTTTCAGCTCATTTGCTTAAGTGAGGAAACTGTTTTTACTAAAAACCAGGGTGGGGTTCCCACTGTTTATTTCAACAGACCCAACCCCATGTTGTTGTAGTTTTGCAAGAACCCAATGCATCAAACGAAAACAACACTGGTTTCTCTTGCTCTTGTCGAGGCTTTGCGGTGGAGATGAGCCGCATGCAACTGGACATGCAGATGGGCCAGCAGGCTGCCATTTGATGGCTTCGTCGGGCTTCGTTCATGCCGGTAGCATGCAGGAGGCTTAAAATCTCAACAGGGGATAGGCAGGGTTGTTTAGTTTTTTGCCCATGTAGGTCCACGCCTTTGCATTTGGGCTGTCCAAAGTGGCCGAAGGAGTTTCTTTTTCAGTTTTTGTCCATAGGTCAACCCCTTTGCATTTTGGGGTGTCCAGAGCGGCCGAGAGGAAAGCGGCCATCTTGCGCTTGGTTTAGAGAGACTGCCGGGCAAATCGTCTGGTGGGCTAGGATTGGGTTGCGCTGTATGGCCCAAACCCACTTCAAACAAGCCCTCCCTCAAAGCAGACGCACCCATTGCCTTGGGCTTATGCCTACGAGAGCCGCATCCAGGGCATCCAGGAGCCTACACATGGGAAGCCCAAAATCGAACAACCCTGAAAGGCTGAATAGCGGTGTCCCGTTTTGGCAATGACTCTTTGGCAATGAGCCGCTTTTCGGGAACGACCCCTTCTGACCCACAAGGTTGTAATCCCGACAAAGGATGACAGTTCTCCAACCACCTTGTCGGTGGCTAGAACATCATGCGCCCTGCGAACTCATCAGCCCGAATTTCGCCAGGTCACCCGTAATTGGTAGTTTGCATTGGCGGCTTGGGAGTTTGAACCCTTTCTTGTGGAAACCCATCCTTAACCTCCAACCCACCGGGCTCCAAACCACCTTTCCCCCAACCCACCGGGCTCCAAACCACCTAGATGGAAGCTGAAAATTGGTAGGTGGACCCAACGCGAATGAACGGCCTCGCCGAAAAGCTGGATGCGTCCTTCCAGCGTTGGGACGGGCTCATGGCTCGCCTGCGCTTCAGCGACGCTCTGCTCGGGTGGGTTCCCTCCGTGTTTCAAAACTTATTTGTTTTGCAGGTTTGGGGTGGGTGGGTGGGGTGTGGTGGACTACTCTTTCTTTTGTTTTCCGATTTATTTCTTTTTGTTTGGGGGGGGGGGTTAAAAGGGTCAGGGTGCTACCTTGCATTTTGCTTGTTGATTTGGTTGTCCCCTTTTTGAAGGGCATCTATCTGGTACTTGGCACTTTTTTGGGGGAGACCTGAAAAGTCAAAAAGCACCCCAGGACCAAGGGTTGAGCCCTAAGGTGGGCAGCCGTCCGCTCGTGGTGTTTCTGGGAATTGCTCCCTGCCAATGGACCCTGAAGCCTGACCTTACGTACACCATACCTTGATTGCTGTTGACCCCCCTTGCAAACATTTGTTTTTTACTTTTTACTTTTGGGGGGTTTAGGGGAAAGCTGTTTTATGTCCCAAAAAGTTAAAGTCTAAAGATCCAATAGCAGTCAAGTTTAGACGCAGGGCGTCAGCCGTCGACCGCGAGCTCAGAGGGGGGAAGGTCCCTCAGGCACCACGACATTTCCTTGCAGAAGGATATCCCCACCCGCACAAATATGGAAAATTGGGGGAGGGGGGTGACCTCTGGAATTCCATTACTGTTCCATTCCCTTTTATGGAGAAGACTAGGTCGGTATGGGGGTTGCAAGGATGTTGCTTTACTCTTGGGCACGCTGTGTTTTATCCAAAGCCGGCCTCGAGGCCTTCTGTGGCCCCTTGACAACTGTTCTGGCCGGAGATTTTCTTATTTCCACAGACGGCCCCCATCTTACGACCCAGGACGACTTTCAAAGC